AATCATGAACTCTGTTAAGCCGTTTGCGCAGATGCTTCCGGCAATGCTCAACGCTTTAGTCCCTGCTGAAATCCGTCCACATAGTAATGCGATGTTTTCCTTCAGAAGGAAGAGTATATCCAAGGTCCCTCAAAACCGTAATCCCGGGGACTGTGGTGTGTACTCTCTCAAATATGTGGAATGCTTAGCACTTGGTGTTAGTTTCGATGGCCTCTGTGATGAAAATATCCAAGGTATACGGCTGAAGATGGCAGCAGATATTTTCGATGAGGCAGCGGATTATTACAGTCAGTTTCAGTAATAATTTGTTGTACTAGACTTATTATGATAATATGTAAATTATTGGAATCATGGATCATTTGTGGTTTTGTACATAAGTCTGTTATGGCTAAGTTATGGTCTCGTTATGGCTAAGTTATGGTTATGTTATGGCTGAGTTCCGAAAGACAAATTAAACTCAACAATAAACAAGCATTTTAAATTGAACAATAAACTTAACATTATGGTATTAGAATATCTTTAAAAGTATCTTTAATGTAAAAAATAAAATTCACCCGGATATAAAAGATAGAATTGTATTAAATTATAGTATTACAAGATAGAATATACAATCATTACTAGGATTTATCTCTTTGTTGGATACATAAGTCTTAAAAGGTATAAACAATAGCTAATTTGATTATATTCAATTTCACAGTGAATAGAAACCTTAAATTCTTCTTATCTAAGTGTTCTAATAACATGAATGTATAAATAATCTTATATTTAAAATTCGAGGTTTGGCTGAGTTATGACTATGTTATGACTATGTTATGGCTGAGTTATAATCATGTTACGGCTGATTTATCCGTTAGATATGGCTGATTTATGATTTTGATATTCAAATTCGGGGTATGGCTGAGTTATAGTTACGTTCCGTCTGAGGTATAACATAACGTTACGACTGAGTTATATAATGAGGTTTGGTTGACTTATCGTAAATTAAATTCGTGGTTTGGCCGAGTTAATTCCAGACGACGTCGTTTACTTCTTTCTTCTCCCTTATAGTCATAATCGAGCGATCAAATTGGGGATTTAGGGTTCTTATCGATTTCTGGGTTTCACATCCGATTTCTTGGTTTATCTTCGATTAAAGAATTCTACTTCTCAATTTTAATATGAGCGACTACTCTTCGAGTACATATCGTTCAGCACATGGTGCTTACCCTCCAGATCTTCCGACGAATTGCGGATGTTGGTGTGGTCACGATATCATCACATACATATCGAAGACAAAGGAAAACCCTTACCGTATCTTCTATAGATGCTCGATTGCTTTGAAGGTACAAATTTTCATTTTTTTTTTTTAATGTTAACATATGGGTATCGATGTTGGTTTTTTGTTAATTAGAGGCCGAATGAGTCGCATTTCTTCAAATGGGTTGATGAGGCATCGGTTGAAGAAATTAAGATGGTCGACGCAAAGGTACAGAGAATAGAAGAAGATGTGACGGACTTAAGGCATCAACATACTCTAAATTTAGATCTTCAAAAAGAAATGTTTGACAAGCTTGAGGAAGAACTGAGTAAGAAGCTTGAAGCAAAATTGATGAAGAAGATTGAGGATAATATGGGTAAGAC